AAGCTGCAGCTAGACTGCAGAAGTATTTTGTTTTGTTTTTGAGGATGGAACAACTTCACACACAGATATAGGGAGGCTAGACCTATACAATTCATTTATTTTGGTTTATAAATGAATGTCAAGACATTTATGTTATAGATTTCTGAAGCACTTTCTAAATAATAAAAAGAGAGTTCATATGTATTTACTGCATGTATGCATTGATGAAAAATAAGCCATGTGCAGTAATATAAAAAATTGAGGATGCAACGCATTGGTATGAATCGTGATGCATCGGGATATCGAATTGAATCGAAGACAGGATAATCGTAATCGAATCGTGAGACCAGTGAAGATGCACAGCCCTAGTCCTTACCCCAAGTGAATCGAGTCTTGTTCTCGAGTGAGGGAACAATGGAGCGTGAGATGGGCCGGAGAATCGGAGCAGCGGGAGCGGTACTGCAGTCGCTTTACCGCACCGCTGTGACGAAAAGGGAGCTGAGCCAGAAGGCAAAGCTCTCTGTCTACCGGGCCATTTTCGTTCCTACCCTCACCTATGGTCATGAAGGATGGGTCATGACCGAAAGAACGAGATCGCGGATACAAGCCCCCGAGATGTTTTTTTTTTGTTCTCTTGCGTTTAACTTAAAGTGGACCAATCATGCTATATTTGAAACATATATTGTAGGGCCATACAAAGTATATAAATATATTAGGGCTGTCAGTCGATTAAAATATTTAATCGCACATTTTTTATCTGTTCTAAATGTACCTTAGAGGAATATTTTTCAAGTTTGTAATACTCTTATCAACATATGAGTGGACAAATATGCTTTATGCAAATGTTTATTATAATTTGAACAATGACAAATATTCTCATGAATATTAAACACAACAACCTCTGAACATTACAAATATTCGCCTCAATTCAACCTGGAACCTCTCATACAATACAAAATGTGTGTGCGTGCGTGTGTGTGTGTGTGCGATGATGGCTCGTTGGAGCTATGTGCAACTCAAGGCGTATGCCCGAACGGGAGCTGCCTGGACGCTGCAATCATGTTGCACTATCCGTGCTGAGTGTGCTGACTTCTCGTACAATGTCCCACTGTCTGGCTGCCTGCATAAAGTCAAGTGCTCGGCGCAGTTGTCGGCGAAATGTCGCTCCTCTGTTTTCATTTAAACAGCTCCTTATATCCGTTAGCGCAGCTAGCTAGCACCAGATGCTAACAACAACAATGCACGTACGGTCTCTCTCTCGCTCGCTCGGGCCACACATACACACACCCTCCCGGTCCTCCCGATAGCCAGTCGGTGCCTGCCGGTGAGCGTTGTAGTGTGGTCTGCCACAAGCGGGCGGCAGGAGCGGGGCTGTCAGCATCAGCTTGTAGATGGTATTTTAAACTCGATGCGCTCTGAAACTACGGGGCGGCCGAGGACAAAAGATAAACATGCGTTAATCGCGTTAAAATAATTAGTGGCGTTAATTTTTTTTTGCGTGCCTTCTGGCTCAGCTCTCCTTTCGTCACAACGGTGAGGTAAAGCGACTGCAGTACCGCTCCCGCTGCTCCGATTCTCCGGCCCATCTCATGCTCCATTGTTCCCTCACTCGAGAACAAGACCCTGAGATACTTGAACTCCTTCACTTGGGGTAAGGACTCATTCCCTACTTGGAGTGGACAGTCCATCGGTTTCCTGCTGAGAACCATGGCCTCAGATTTGGAGGTCTGTTTTTTCTACCTTTTTTTTAATTAAATTTGTTCCTGTAAAGAAACTAATCTGAGGGATCATAATTTAATAAATAAAGAGTATCCTAAACTTGACAGCCCTAAAATATATATATTTTTTCAAAATACAAAACATGCATTTTAGCCATGCCTCATTTCGCTTTATTTGCTCTTTCCAGCGCTGTTTTTGCAGGGGGCTGATTCTGTGAGCTGCAACTGACCACGCCCCCCTGCAGCAGAGGGGAGTTGGCAGTTCCTTTGGCATTAGGGCAGGGATATCTAGATACTTCCCAAGGTTTGACATCATGAATTGTGCTACTTTTAAAGCAAGCAACAATCTGTAATCAAAAAGCTCCTCAAAAACACTATCGAAGCAGTTCCTGCCGTTGCTACGTTAGTTCAAACAGTAACAACGGACTATTTTTCTTAGCGGATGCATGTCAATTTAAATCAATACATACAACTATTTTTTAAATCAATAAAATCATTTTCTAAATCCATAAAAGCATTTCAATTCATATTGGGAGTCATGTCGTTACTTTGTTGAGAATGTGACCATGTAATAAGCGGGATAATTGGTCATTATGGGGAAAAGAACACCGACAGGCTGATCAGGAGCCCGACGCGAAGCGGAGGGATCTAGATCGGCATGAAGGTGTTCTTTTCCCCATAATGACCGCGTCGCTGCACATTATCCCTTACATATGATTATATAGAGTCATTATTCATTTGTTTTAAAGCAGGAGGAGCAAACGCTTGCCTCGGGGAGGGAGAAAAAGAGCCACAGCGGAGAATAAACAGAAGGGCAACCATGGCAACCATGCAAGGGAAGTCTTCTTCGCTGCTTTTGTGGCAGACTACAGTGCCACTTACAGGCCTAGCATATGTACTACAGCGTCTCCAGCGCTTTTGAGCGGCAATGGCCGGCCGTGGCCCAACCTCTCATTCCCCTGATAGGTGGAGAATTGACCAATAGCCATAGCGCCACCGTCCTGACGTCAGGACAGTGTTCAAATCTGGATCAGTCTGTATCAGATCCGTTGCAGCCCCGTTTTTAGAGATTTGGGTATGGAGGAAAATAGAGAGGGTTGTGTTTTCTGACACTTGGTGAGTTCCCTGACACACCGGGAACACATATTCATGTATAAAAGACGTACAAAAGTGCATTTTGCATGATAGGTCCCCTTTAAGGCAGCAGATATTGCTGAAATTGCATATTGCAATAAACATCTACCAGTGTTTTACTTTTCAGCTGCTTTTATACACTGCTATTATTTAACTTAGCAATAACATTCATACTTGTAAAAACAATTATTTTGATATATAATTATTTTTTATAAGCATCCACACTGCATTTCAGGGTTTCCCACACAGACTATACTTGGGCGGGCCGCCCAGGTATATTAACGGCCGCCCAAGTATATTTCGCGACCCATTTAGGTTTTTTTTCTAAGTTTTTTTTAATATTTTTTTTTTTTATTCGTCCACGCCATCTGCGATCGATTAACTTGTAGACAATGATCCCTCGCTCCCTTGCTCTGATCTCGCCTCCTTCTGGCCTGTTAAGTGGCCTGCCTCACACAGGGTGACTGGCTGTCCACATGATGTGGCCTGCCGACATGGCCACTGTCATACAGATCATAAATCAAAGCCCTTGATTGGTCTCTGTGTGTCATTCAAGCTCGGGATAACCTCAGCTCAGGTGAGGTAAAGGACTCTCTGAGTGTTTAGGTAGTTAACTTAGTCTAAGTTCTCAGTGGGTCTCAAACGGTGTGGTCACCATTTATGTAAACACATATTTCCATTTGAGAGGGGTAGTGATTGGTCTAATGGATAGTGAGGTGGGCTGAAGATCGGAAGGCTGTGAGTTCAAATCCCGCCAGGAACACCACCACTAGTGTGCCCTTGAGTAAGGCACTTAGCCCTTAGTTACTCCAGGGAGAATGTCCCTGTAATCGGTCATTATAAGTCGCTTTGGATAAAAGCGTCAGCTAAATTAAATGTAATGTGATTAGTAAAATATGCATGAATAAATAAATAAAAAGTTAATTAGGTGAAAAAAGGTAAGATACCATTTTAAAACTTGTTGAGAGAAAACTAGTCTTTGCTGCTGCCTCAAAGAGGAGCAGGGGGAGAGGAGGGAGAGGGGGGAGAGGAGGGAGACAGGAGAGGCTGATTCAGGAGCACAGACACACTCACAACTATAAATGAACCAAAACAAAATTAATAAACAAGTTTCAGTGTTTTTTTCATATTGGAAATGGTATGTTATTGGTTATGGCCTTGATTTTATGATTATTGAAATGTATACAGTTCTGTTTCATATAGGTGTTTCCATAGATCTAGTCTCTTTATTTTCCCCTCAAAATGCACCAGATTGATGCATTTAACTCCAAAATAAAAAATTAAATCTTACCGGGGGGGCATGCCCCTGGACCCCCCCAGAGGATTTGAGGTCCACCCCCACTAAAAATCACATGGATAGGCTCCTAAATACATTAATAAATACATTTATTTTTTAAAATAGTAACTCATTTCCATATGTTCATGTGTGGGTAGTAGATTTAAACTATAGGGCTATCATTATGGACCCTGCCTGTACCTGTTCGCTCGGCCATCGCGTGAAGGGTCTGCTAACAAGCGACCAACAGAAAGGTTAATGTTAATGTTGTTGCACGTCACCTCAACCCCCCCCCACCACCCCCCAAAGTATATTTCAGATCTGTGGGAAACACTGGCAGTTAATGGGCCAGCACCAGAGGCGTTCCCATACACACAGGCGTTGGAGCTGTTCTTCATGAAATCCCAGAAGGATGAAGTGCTCTGACAAACAGCGCCATCTTTGCGCAAAAATGATTATAGCGGAATGAAAAGTCAATAAATAAACATGTTGTTAAAACCTTCTTTTTTTTTCTTTTTTCGCCGCATATCATCGCACCATATCAGCTCAGCAGTGAACTGCCATCAGCGCCTTTACATAGTGATGGATGATTTAGACTTTTTGCCACAGAGATATAAAGCTTTCTAGCAATTAGTCTGTGCTAAATGTAAGCCCTGAAAGTGTGTGCAAACCACAATTTGTCATATAGCCCAAATTTGACCACATGACCCTGGGAGTCACTACATTGAAAACCAACATCACTATGTCAAGTGGTTGACTGTTTGGATGGGATCTGAGCCTAGTTTAGTTTATATCTTCATCAATATAAGCATGTAAAGGGGGTAGCGTATTGCATGAACAGTACACTAAAGGAGGACATTTGCTCGTGCACCACACACATGGTTCATACTCACTTGTTCCTCAGGACCTGCCAGGCCGCCTCGATGTCCGCATACAGGTTCTTCTCAGAAGGCTTCCCTGTACTGACTCCGTAGCCTGAGTAATCGTAGGAGAACACGTTGCAGTTGATTCTGGAGCCGAGGCCGATGTAAAAGCTGCACATCTGCCCGAGGTCCACGGCGTTGCCATGGGAGAACAGCAGCGTGTAGCGACTGTTCGGGGCGCACCGCACAAACATGCACCCGACCCGGTTACCCCGGCTGCTTCTGGTGGTAAACACCTCCACCGCATCGAGCTCCCGCTGAGAATACTGCCAGTCCGCCCGCTCGGTTAGATGTAAGCTAGTTGCCCCTTCAGTGTCCGTGTGCACCGAGTACGTGGGCTCCGGGGGGAGGAAAGCTAGCTTGGCCGCGATGCGACTCGGACAGGGCGGACAGCAGAACAACCAGCACAGCTCGCCAAGAGAAAAGCCATTCATCCTGGGACCTTGTTCGGGCATTTAGTCTCGGGGTTACCCGGTGATTTAACTCTCCTATTAAAACGGGAAGGCGGTCCTCTTGTGGTTCAGGTCCTATTTATTTCCCATTAACAGACTATACCGAGCAGAGTAGGATGACCAGTGGTTCGGCAGCTAACGGGCTAACGCTAGCAGGCTGGCAGGTAGCTAACAGCAGAACTAGCCTTCCTAAGGAAAATACTTTACCTAAAACTCAACATTTATATTCACGGTATTGTACAGCACAACACGGTGAAGCGGCGAGTCGAGTCTCGGTAGAGAAGTTCAGTCCCTGGAACGCATTAGCTGCTAAACGTCAAGATATGTTGCTAGTGTGTTTGTAAGAATGAGAACGGCCATTTCTCTGGGATGGAGAGAAGCCGGCCTTCCGTTACAACCGGATATCCGGATTGGTTTGGTTTTGTCGATTTTGTCGATGTTATTTTAGAATACTTAATTGCATCTTTTCATACCATTAAGTCTACTTCAAAATGCTGTACAGAATACAGTGAGAAGAAGGCAAACCATTGTCATATATTCTTGTCTTAAAATGTTTTGTGTGGCTTCTGGGAAACACAAGAGAAATGTCTCTAAACAAGAACCCACACACTTTATTAATGGGGAAAACACCAGAGGGAATTAAAAGAAAAATCGTACTCATTTCTTGTTTTAAGAATAGCAATTATTAAACAAATAACAAGGATTTGTTTAAAATGTAATTACTTAATCGCTTCATTAACTCACAATGGAAGTATCTAGTGAAGGAGATTTATGGAATGGAAAAAAATAAAATAACAATGAGAATCAGAAACCAAGTTCATATCTTTGATGCAATATTAGAAAAAAGGGTGAGTTATAGAACACAAAACCCTTATATTGATCAGGTGGTAAGATGTCACAAATAATGTATGTATGAGATAGATAGATAGATAGATAGATAGATAGATAGATAGATAGATAGATAGATAGATAGATAGATAGATAGATAGATAGATGGATCAGCAGTGTGTTTAGGCATTACAATATTAATGTAGTGTCCATTATGTGTAAACTATACCTTGTTTTTCACCCTTTCTCTCTCTTTTTCTTTCTTCTCTTTTCCTGATTTGTGGATTGTTATGTAGTTATTTAATGTATCTAAGTATTTATGTTGTTATGTACTCCTTGTAATCAAATCCTTTCTTAAAATGCAATATATATATATATTTATTAAAGGTTAATAAACCTTTAATCTTAAACCTTCGCGTTGGGCTCCTGATCAGCCTGTCGGTGTTATTTTCCCCATAATGACCAAGTCGCTGCACATTATCCCGCTTATTACATGGCCACATTCTCAACAAAGTAACGATATGACTCCCAATATGAATTGAAATGCTTTTATGGATTTAGAAAATTATTTTATTGATTTAAAAAATAGTTGTATGTATTGATTTAAATTGACATGCATCCGCTAAGAAACATTGTCCGTTGTTACTGTTTGAACTAACGTAGCAACGGCAGGAACTGCTTCGATAGTGTTTTTGAGGAGCTTTTTGATTACAGATTTTAAAACATCGTTGCTTGCTTTAAAAGTAGCACAATTCATGATGTCAAACCTTGGAAAGTATCTAGATACCCCTGCCCTAATGCCAAAGTAACTGCCAACTCCCCTCTCCTGCAGGGGGGCGTGGTTAGTTGCAGCTCACAGAATCAGCCCCCTGCAAAAACAGCGCTGGAAAGAGCAAATAGAGCGAAATGAGGCATGGCTAAAATGCAGGATCTGTTTGGTATTTTGAAAAAATATATATATTTATATACTTTATATAGGTATGGCCCTACAATATATGTTTCAAATATGGCATAGGAGATGGGTGAGACCTGGGGATAAGTAATGCTATTATAAAAACAATATGAAAGTGAAGCCATCACATGTAACTAAAGAGGTAAAAAGCTTAAGCTAGCCCGAGGCACATAGCACTTGACAGAACATCAGTACATTTTCTGTGGATTCTAAATTAGATAATCTTTTAAACTCAAAACATAGGTAATTATTACATGTTAGACACTTTTATCCAAAGCGACTTAAATACTAAATACTGTGGGCAATCCCCACAGGAGCAATTTGGGGTGAAGTGTCTCAGGGACACAACGACATGCTGACTGCAGTGGGGTTTGAACATGTGCTCACCTGATCCAAACACCAACGCACTAGTCAACTGCGCCACAGCAGCCCAGAAGTAATGCTCTGTTATTGATAATAAGGTCTTATGAGTGCTCTGATTAATACTATAATGTATTCTTTGAATATGAGTAGCCGTATTTTGTCACAGGTTACAATGCTGGACATCACAATGGTCTACTGCATATGGCTCGAACCTGTATGGCTGAATTCCCCCATCCAATCTCTTCATATTGCTCAAAACTTCTTCCTCGGCTGACGAGTCCGAACTCAAATACTCCGCCATGTTTTCGTGTGTTTACAAAGTGAACGCATGGATGACGTCACGACCATCACGTGACTACTGAAAATGGGCAAAATGGCAGCGGCCTGACGGAATATACAGGTTTTGATAAAAAAGAGCTATAAAATCATTATTTACCGGGGAATATCGCTGATTTCTTCAGGGTATGGTTTAAACATAATGTTTCACTAAATACTGAAGTTTTGATTAATTATCTAATGAGTGGAGCATTCCTTTAAATGAACAAAAGTCCTTCAAATCTCGGATGCCCCAAGAGCCTGTGCCATGCTGATCAGGCTAATATACACACTCAACCTGAACTACCTAAAAGAGATGTTAAAAACGTTGGAAGCAGGTTCATGCCATTATTTTAATTTTTGTATTTACTTTTTTTTCATATTTGAGAACATTTGTTATAAAAAGGTCATTGTGTAAAGAACATTTTAAAATAAACTGTTAAGTGGAACTTAAATGTTTATGTTGTTTTTGACTCAAATAAATGAGTTTCTAATACTCAAACAAATTAAGGTAACAATTTGCATGGACATTTTTGAGTAGTATGGATTTAAATAAATAAATTACAATAGCTTAAATTAAACAAAATGCAACTTAATATCACTCCATCTTTACTATTAAAATTAATTTGGTTCAATTTAATTTAGTTTTTAAAGGTGGAAGCAATTTATGTTTAGTTCTGAACTAAGTTTTAAATACTAAAAAGATCGACGCAAATTGTGTTGTGTCTGGACATTTGTGTTAAGTTAATTTATTTAGTTCAGTCCTTTTGTCTTTTGCCTTGTCTTGTGATTTCCTGTTTTATTTTGTAGTAACCTTTCCCTCTCGTTTCAGAGCATTCCTGCCCTTGTGTGTTTTTCCCTCCAGTGTGATTGTCAGCCCTCCCTTAATTGTTGCCACCTGTGTCCCCTTACCTAGTGTGTATATATAGTCTGCGTCTCCCTTTGTCCTGTGCCAGTTCGTCTTGTCTCGTCAAGCCTGCCAGTCATTCCTTGATCGTGTTAAGTATATTTTTGAGTTTTGATCCTCCAAGTGAGCGTTTTGTGTTCTGACCTTAATTAAAAGACCTTGTTAATCCTGATCTGTTTCTGGTGTTGTGCGTTTGGGTCCTGAGCCTTGTGACATTCTTAACAAATTGTTACCTCAATTTATTTGAGTAGAGCTGGTGTATTTCTTTTTAGAGTGTACTTTTACTTTTGGTACGTTACTTGACTTGTAACAGAGCATTTCCACACAGTGGTATTCCAGTCGTTTTGCCATGCCTATTTCGTACCTAGAACCACATGCTGGCTGTCTGCGTTGCTGGTGCTCGAGGCTAAAGGTGCTCTGGAGCACTGCCATCACTCGTTGTATGGGACTCCTCCTCGCTAATCACAACGGCATCTAGAACAGCATACAGGACTTGTTAATTCCACAAACTACTGCAGCACAATACTAAATAGCAACAACAACTCTAGAAAACTGGACGTAAACAATGGTGCATATGGTGTTGGCAAACAATAGCTCTAGCTAATGCTATCTGTGCTAACCATAGCTCTTCGGGGCTCCATAAAAGCATGGGTTGGATAAAATAGGTTTGTTTGTTAGAAATGAGCTTTACAATAGATAGCGACACAGCGCTTTCAAGCAAAGAACAGAGCGTTAGCAAAAACGTAACCATCCTGCATCTGTTGCCGAGTCCAGGCTTCGTTTCGTGTTGCGCCGTCGAGCTCCCCGCTGTATTTTTTCATCCGCAACGAGATTGAGTAACGTCTGTAGTGGCAATGGCAAAGCAAAAAAAGCTGCAGTGGAAAAGCGCCATAAGAGTGGAAGGGCAAACATTTTTCACCTGCATGAAACACAAGCTACCTATGATACGCCATAAGGCTATGAATCCTTTTCCTTTTAAATAAACAGCTGACTAAATGGACGACTAATGTGGAGGCGCGTTGATCTGACCACTCATAACAAGTGGCAAAAACACATGAAAAACTTAGTTGTAAAAGGAGAAATTGAAATAATTTTACATAAATACAAACTAATAATCTCATGAATATAATCCATGTATCTCTACCTCTTGTTTCCCTAACAACCACCACCCTCCATCCAATGGCTTAATACTCATGGACTGAATTTAGACAAATATCCCCAAAAGGCCAATAAGGGGTGTGTGAAGCTTACAATTGAGCGGCCCGACCAAGCAAGGAGGCAGAGGCAGAATGTCCAACATTATAACCCGGTGTGGGCATTTATTAAAACATGAACACATTACACACAGCCTCAATCTGCTGCTGCTGTTCACGTGAGCCCAGCCTGCAGCCACCAGGATCTCACACACACTCCCTGCCTCTAACAGACAGGGAAACAGAGCCTAAATACCCACAGACACACTAATCTGCAACTAGACACAGGTGAGGGGGGAGGAGACAACACCGGGCACCAGGTGCACACAATCCAGCAACAGACATAACGGGAGGGGGAACACTTTTCAAACACATAACTGAACAGAATTACATACATACAAACTCCAACTAAACGCAGTCAGCACTTTTACAATTAATGCCACTTAACGCTATGATTTCTACACCCTCACATTTTTATTTGCACCCGGATTATTCTTAACCGCTGTCATTCTAGCATAAGCACTTTCGGCGCTCTCGCTAACTCCCCTATCTTGTCAGGCGGAGCCGAGGACCCGACCAACACCTGCCAGACGACATTTCAATCAATACGGTTTAATCCTTTAATACATACCATCTCAATAATTAGTATAAATTATATAAAATGTGCAAATATGCCATGCCAAACGGTACTGTGCAATCACGCTAATAAAGTGCAAAACTGTTCACTAAAGTGCTGTCAGTCCACTGTGACGAAGTTACCTTCGTCACAGTGTGCATCAGTCAACAATAAACATAATGTGGACAAAATTCAATCACAGAAAAATGTAGACAAAAACAAAAGTCCATGGT